CTTTCCCTGTTATCAAGGAATTATATATATAGTTAGACTAGTCCCAATGAATCACGAGGCCATATCTATGGTGGGCAGTCTCAGGCCAGGTGCAATTTATGTTCAGATTAGGGAGACTTGGACAAATACATGCCTGAACTTCCTTCTTACTTTAAAAAGAAGAATAAAGAAATTAAACAGCAGAACATTTTTTATATTATTTTAAAATATGAGAAAATGAGAATGAGTTTGACCACAAAAAGAAGAGAGTCTTACAGCAAAAGGTTAAAGGCTGTAAGAGAATAATGGCTATATGTATGCCCTGTGTAAACCTCTAGATATCAATATCGCTGCCAAACCTGACTTCATCTATCAACAGAAACTTGATCAGTCCTATAAAAGCTACCAATAAAACCCCCTGCTTTTCAATAATGTAAAGGTTCTGAATGAACCCAAAACAAGTAGAGATATCTGAAGTCTGCTCTTCTAGTTTTAATTCAAATCCTATGTAATCTGAATGTGGCTTGTGTTTTAAGTTTAAATAAAATTAAGAAAGGATTATTAAACATTTTGAGAAGAGGTAATTAATAAAATCTAAAATTATATAATAAAATTAAAATTCAAAAGCCCTACTCTCTAACAGAGTTTTAAGCCCTAAGCAAAATGAATTACAAAAGTTTCCTGAGCAGACCAGGGATTTCATTAATACTTTTCATTTTACAAGGAAAGTGTTTAGATACTATGATGATGGGTATAAACATGACATCTTTGGCTAGATATTTAGGAAATTCTGAACAAACCTCTGTTGACTGAGTGACTCAGACTGCTTCTTAAGAGACTGATGAAGATCCCATTCAAGTTAAAAGAGTGGCTTCTTTGACTTAAACAGGCTTTTCTATCACATGCTAGACAAAGTATGCAGTCTCTCATCCTTCACATTAAATTAATATTGAGTCTGGCAGTTGCCATTTCAACGTGATCTTAAAGGAATGCTGTTTCCCCAAGGTAATCTAATACACCAAATTCCTATTTCTTGTAATAATGACACAAAACACAACTTTCAATTTGGCATTAAAATCTGGTGCTTTGCCAGTGATATACATTTTTTAGTTGAGAGCTGCCCGAGCGAACTGGATTCATACCCATGTCAGAAAGTTCGATACGCTGCTGGACATATCACAGGCTGCTTACAGACATTAAAAAAGCAAAAACAAACATGGTGGTTTACTATAAATTCAGTGCACTCCTGCACTGAGCCCAAAACACACCCAGAAGAGGCAGCACATTAGTTAGACCTAGCTCGCCCAATGTCTGTATAGACCTGGCACTTTAGTGGGCTTTTTTTGCACTTCCATCTAATAGCTGATCGAATCAACTTTAGATAAAAGCACCAAAAAGCCCTGCTGAAATGCCCAATCTACACAGATACTGCGGAGTCAAGACAAACTGACACACTGCTGCTTCTTGTAATCAACATTTTTTTTTTATTAATGTCTGTAAGCAAGCACAAGCTACACTTTTTTAATAAGTGATCAATTACACTTCTTTATATCCTGGATGTCTAATACAGGATTTGAATAGTGTGAAATAAGTGAAGCACATATCTCACCTGGACTAAGGAAGAAACAAAATACTGAACAAGTATTCCATTGATCCCATGCACTGAGACAGGCATCACAGAAAAAAAATATGAGCATGTGATTACATACTATATATTTAGAAAGTTCATAAAACAAAAATAAGAAAAAACAAAACCAAAAACCCTCCATTAAGCATATCAGGTCTCTGAGATGCAACAATACATATTAGGTAAAGTAAGCGCCCTTGTATTGAGATGAGGATTATTTGTAGGTTTACCTGATATTCATTTGGCCAAAAGGTACTGACGGCCAGCTCTGCTCTAAGCCAGTCTTTTCCAGTAGAACCCGTCACATTCCAAATTGGATTAGCAAGAGGTCCCTTGTTCACCCTAACTAAGATGTTCAAGGTTCCAGGGTTTGCTCCATTCTTACTATATAAAAGGTAACTGAAATCAATGCAGTGTGTATCATTTTCCTTCATGGTAGGAAGCTGGAGTCTAGTCTTTTCTCCCAAATCATGATCTGAAGAATCCACTATCATGTATGATCCTGAAGAGAGAGAAGGGGAAAGGAGGAGAGTTTTAAAAAATTGAAGAAAAATATGGTTCTACAAAACTGCATTTTTGTTCTCCTTTTCAGAACTACATGTAGGCTGGATAGGTACAGATATACAAATATATTTTAAAATAAAATTCAATAGAGGAATACAAGAACAGCAACAGTTCAAAGAAGGCATTAGGGTGTGGCAATAAGAACAAGTTACCATGAAGCAAACTAGGGTGTGATTTTACAGGGCACTGGCACATACATTTACATCCATCAATAGTTTGACCACAAATAAAAGCAGAGATGTGGGACGGAAAATTTTCCAGTGCTTTCTTTTTCCATGGGAAATTTTCCATTTCTAAAAATTAATTGTTTCATAAAATTCATTAGTAACAATGAATGGATACCAATACAATATTAGGCAAGCTTGGCAGTTTCAAAGTTGTAATTAATGTTTTTCAGGGGATTATCTCTTGGAAGTGTGTGAGAGAGTACATATATGTTTATTTATTTGTAAACAGGAGGGTAAATTCACTCACATCATAATCCAAACCAAAAATCAAGTTATAAATTCACCTAATTGGCTGTGCAGGTGAAATGAAAACCAAAGCCAAAATTCTTATTTCATCTCAGACTGGAAGTGAAAGCAAAACCAAAACTAAAACTGTGATTAATTTTTGTTTCACTTTTAGTTCAGCAAACACAGAGCAGGGTCTCATTTCTTTTCTGGAGTTGTGGAAGTTGGAAGTGTTTGTATAACATCTATTCGTTTTTTAGGTAGTCATAACAATACCTAATCAGAAAAAACAACAACTAGTGTGTGGCAACATTATAGTGAAGTTCAAGCCACTGAAGGACGGAAGTTGGTAGATGTAAATATTGTGGGCAGGAGTATGCTAACAATGCAACAAGACTGAAGAAACATTTAATAACATGTAGAAACTGTCCTGAAAGAGTACAAGCCATATGCAGAAAGCTAATGCAACCAAGTGGTAGAACAACATCATCTGAGAAAAGTCTACTTCAGGAATCCTATGTAAGTAGACAAATTAATATGTTAAACAACACACAGTATAGACTAGCATCTATATTGGTTTAAAACATTATAATTTTAAAGGTTGCAACTTTGCGCTATTATTGGACTATTATTTATTTATTTATGAACTTAAAATATTGGTATCCTGCTTTTCTGCTTGCACTAAGCACTCAAAGTGGCTTCGGCTTAATAATATATTTTTTAAATGACATAATAGATAAATAGATAACTATTTCAACCCAGCAGAGTGAGCTTAGTTCTCTGGCCAATGGCAGAGGCCAAACTATACTTCCCTTTGTCTCTGCAGTCCCAGGACAACTGAGTGGCAAGTTGAGCAGCAGAGTGTTCTTTCTGGCAGGGAGGGAGGAAGCAAGTTCCCTGCTGCTTCTCCTTTTCCTTCTGACGGAGGAAGCCAGACTAGAATAGGCTAAAATAAAAATCTTTTCCCCCTTTTGTTGCAGGAACTTGGTAGGTCAAGTGAAATAACAGGTTTGCAAAAAATGGAAAAAGAAAATGTTGAGCTGCCGGGTCTGGGGAAAGAAGCAGAGCAGAATCCTCACTTTCAAGATCACTGGCACTAGATATGTGATCCACCATGAGTAGCTGTTCAAGACAGTCAAGCTTTTTATCAAGCTTTGTGGACAAAATGTCAAAAGAAGATCAAGAAAAAGTAGATGAGACATCAGTTCGAGCTATGTTTGCAAGTGGTACTCCTCTTTCTGTAACTGAAAATTAAGACTGGAAGGAATATTACAAACTAATTCGCCCATCATGAAAGTTACTGTGACATTATCACTTATCACATTCTCTCTTAGATAAAGAGTATAACAGAGTTCAAACCATGGTTATTCAAAGGACTGGTCAAGCAGAATCACTAACTCTGATGTCAGATGGATGGACTGATATACAAGGGAATCCTTTATTGAACATTATGTTAGCAACACCTGAACCAATATTCCTGAAAGCAACTGCTACCAAATCTTCTTGTCATACAGGTGAATACATAGCCAAATTACTGAGTGAAGAGATTGAAAGTGCAGGTCTCTCCAGGGTACAAGCCCTTGTAACTGATAATGAGTATAACATGAAAGCTGCATGGCAAATATTAAAGGCAAAGTATCCTCATTTAATAGTATTTGACTGTCTTGCTCTTGGGTTGAATCTTCTGGCAAAGGACATAATAAGTGTGAATAAAATGAAAACAATATTGGCAAACTGCAAGGCAACTGTAAAGGTATTCAACAATCATCATGTTGCTAATCAGACTTTGAAGAAATTACAGAAAGAGAAGCAGGGGAAGGAAAGTGCATTTTTATTGCCAGGAGAAACTAGATGGGGCTCAGCTACAAAGCATTTACAGAGTCTGTTCCACACAAAGAAATGTTTGCAGTGTGCTTCAATAAATGACACAGTATCCCAGATTATTCCCGTGAACATTCGGAAGCAGATTCTCAACAACAATGTGCTCTGGGTTCAAGTTCAAGGAGCATTCAATTTGCTACCAGTTTCAGTGGCCATCAAGAAACTTGAAGGAGATATACCAAGCCTTACTACTACCAAGAAGAAGTAGTAAAACAAATGTTTACTAAGAAATCCGAGTTTTGCTCTCATCCAGTTCAACTAGCAGTTCATCCAAAACTTTTGGATCCTCAACACAGAGGACAACATTTATCAGAAGATGATCTTCTGCTCTCGATACAATTATGGAAGTAGCTAAAAATGTCCCCAGCATCAATGAAATAGCTGTGATGGCAGACATTGCCAAGTACCGTGCAAAAGAAAAACTTTTGAGCAAAGACATCATTTTGCAGGCAGCAGAGAATGTCTCCTCTCACATGGTGGAAGGGATATGATAACACCCGACTGTTGTCCAGGATTGCTCTAAGGATCCTAAGCATTAAACTAACAGCAGTTTCTTGTGAACGGAACTGGAAGACTTTCAGCTCAACCAAGACGAAAAAGAGGAATAGACTAACAAATGAACGCACCGCTAAGCTTGTTTCTATTTTTCAACATCTCTTGCTTCTGGAGAATCAGTCAGAAACACAATTAGTGAAGAAGATGCAGTGTGATGATAAGTTGCCCTTGCCCATAGACTCATTGGTAAAACCATCCTTTAGCAAAAACTAATGCGGTTCAAGTAGTTCTGAATCAGACTTGCCTCAATCTGATTCTGAAACGGAACTAATAAGTGGTGCAAGTGATTCTACAGATAGTGACAGTGAAACTGGAGGTGCCACAATGACCTCAGTGGAAGAGTTAAATTCTGTAGAAGTAGATGAGTGGACAACCATGCCATATCATGCACAGTTCTTTGGGTGTGCTAAAATTAGTGTGTCAACAGTTTTTGATGCCTTCGTATTTTCCCTTAAATTTAAACAAACAATGTAAGGCAAGTACCTGCTATTGTGTATTGTCCTTATATTTTTACAAGTATTCCATAAAAATAATTTCTTTCCACATAAAGCTTTGAATTCGTTGGAATATAACATTTAAACTACCTGAAGTGTGCTGTATTTAATTATTTTCCCAAATATTTCAGTTCAAATACTTGTGGCTGTTGGGACATAAAATTAACATGAGGGTACTTTTTTTAGTTTTGTTTACTAAATATAAGTTAAATAAACATGCTAAATCACATCACGCTCTATTTATGGCATTGGAAAATTTTCCATTTCAAAATTTTCTGGAAAACCCACATCTCTAAATTAAAGTGGGGTAAGCTATCTCACTTTTTACATCCAGACAGAAAAATAACCACAAAGTAGCCAATGGGCCTTAAATTCACACCCTACCTACCGAACTATAATGCATTCATGTAGCTATACTCTGAGAATGCCATAAGTCATTTAGGTGAAATGTGGTATAGTCCACCAATAGATATCTAACCATCTATCTAGGCTGCTAAATACCCTAAAAACAATTCTCTCTTCCCTCTTATCAGGATTTACTTGGTACTTCACCTTTGTCCATATTTACTTCCCTCAGACAACAGAAAAAATATTTGATGGAAATGAACGTTAGGGAGTAGAGTACATGGAGAACATTGTAACCCAAAATAATTCATCTTTCCCT